AAATTAAACCAAGACCATGGTGGTGGGGGAGGGGCAAATTCAGAGCCGTGAGCCCCGCCCTCTCCATCCACCCAGCCCTCTAGCTACGGCGGCTTGGAGAGAGGCTCCAGGAGACCCAGGTTGCCCCCTCCCTATGCCCAGATGTGTGAATGCCAGGCCGCCGGAACAGCCATTTTGATGTTTGTTCACCCGGGGGCCCCTAGACAGCATCGCGCGTGGGCGCGTGGGTGGAACCACGGATCTGCTGTGCTCTCTTCCAGTTCGCCAGCTTCACAGGGAGTTCCTCAGAGCCGGATCAAACGTCATGCAGACCTTCACTTTCTACGCCAGCGAAGACAAGCTGGAGAACAGAGGGAACTACGTGGCAGCGAAGATATCTGTGAGTACCACCCGCCATGGGCACTCCCTGTGGAGGGCATCGCAGACACTCCACTCCACAGGTTCCCACAGAGAAAAGCTAGAGTTTTGTTCTACCACCGAACCGAGAGACACGTGACTCACACTCTCAGGGCTGAGTCGCCCTCTCTAAGATTAATGGGAAGGCATTTCGGAAGCAGATTAAAGTCTACTCAACAATGTGTCCTGCTTCTACATTGCTAAACAAAGTGGCATCTTTGCAGGTCCATATATCCCCCACACACTCCTGTTTGAGACAGAATCTTACTCTGCGGCCAGGCTGGCCTCGAACTCACAGAGACTCGCCTGCCTCTGCCTCCCAAGTGCCGGGATCAAAGGCCGGCAGAATACAGGGGACAGCAAGTCTGAGCCCTGCCCAGTTCAGCGGCAGTCCCTTCGGTCATTGCCGAAGCCCTTGCTCATCGGGGCTGAGATTTTGTCATATCTAAAACGAATTGGGGGCTCTGAAATTCCGACAGTCTGAATGACCTGTGGTGCTGGGTGTCCTGGGGTTTTATTTTTGTTGTTGTTTGGGAAGGTGTTTGGTTTGTTTTGCTTTATTTTTTTTAAAGATTAATTTATTTATATATTAATGTATTTATATACAGTATTCTGCCCATATGTATGCCTTCAGGCCAGCAGATGGCGCCAGACCTCATTACAGGTGGTTATTAGGCACCATGTGGTTGCTGGGAATTGAACTCAGGACCTCTGGAAGAACAGTCAGTGCTCCTAACCTCTGAATCATCTCTTCAGTCCCCTGTTTTGCTTTATTTTTTAAGGATAAAGTGGGATTTTGTGGCTGTTGTCTGTAGTGAAGGGTGGAACCCAGTACCTCAAACATGCTAGTCAAGAGCCCTGCCCACAAGCTACACCCCAGATCAGGTGGCCCCACATGCACTCCTAGGCACTCAAGAGACCGAGCTGAGAGGGTCACTTGAAGGTGATTGACTGAGCTACAAACCATTGATCTACACAACCCTTGTTTTCTGGGACAAAAATAAATGATTTTAAAAATAAAATTAAGAGGCAGGCATGTAACTAATAATTTGTTCTTGAGTTTCACGTGTAAATTTAGATGTGTCCTCTCCTCACCCACTCTAGGGGCATAAGGTCAACGAAGCTGCCTGTGACATTGCCCGTCAGGTGGCTGACGAAGGAGATGCCTTGGTTGCGGGAGGGGTGAGCCAGACGCCTTCATACCTCAGCTGCAAGAGCGAAACAGAAGTTAAAAAAATATTCCAGCAGCAGCTGGAGGTCTTCATGAAGAAGAATGTGGACTTCCTCATTGCTGAGGTAATCGAGAGTAATCCATGACCGGATGAAATCCTTTCTCTAACCTTCCGCTCTCTCCATGTCAACGTGGGGTGGTGTTCAGATCTCAACACAGAGCAAAAATATTTAGCCTTTGAGGTATTTTTCCACCTAAGACTTCTGCTAATGTTGACTCAGTTCATTGAATGCATTAGATTATCATCAAACCTTTTTCTTTGATTCACACTAAGGAACTGTCAACTCCATTCTATTCTGCATCAAAACTGCTTAGTAAATGGGTTCCCATTAGACAGTTCCTCAGGTAATAACGGAGTGGCATTCTTGCTGTTTTGTGGGAAACATGATTAAAATGTTCTTCCCTTCACTGGTTTCAGTATTTTGAACATGTGGAAGAAGCTGTGTGGGCGGTAGAAGCATTAAAGACATCTGGTAAACCTATAGCGGCTACCATGTGCATTGGGCCTGAAGGAGACCTGCATGGGGTGCCGCCCGGAGAGTGTGCTGTGCGTCTGGTCAAAGCAGGTAACCATAGATTTTCATTGGTTTGCCACTAGTGGCCTTTAAAAATAACATAAAGAAAATGCACTGTTGCAGGAATCAATACATACTGTGGTATGTACCAAGGAAACAGACATGGAAAAAGCCACAATTTGACTTCGTATACACATGGAGGAATATACGTGTGTGTGTGTGTGCGCGCACGCGCACATCGCATGTGTGTGCACATGTGGAGGCCCAAGGTAAACCTTGGCTGTCCTCCTCTGTTGCTTTTTCACCTTATTTCTTAAGCCAGGGTCTCTCACGGAACCCGGAGCTCACTGATTAGCTAGACTGGCTTGGCCACTGAGCTCCTGGAAGCAGTCTTGACCACAATAGCACTAAGGCTACAGGCGTGTGCTACTATGACCAGCTGTTTATGTGGCTGCTGGGGATCTAAAGTTAGGATCCACTGAGCCATCTCCCCAGCTCATGAACTTTCCTTTTTAAGGAACTGTCCAATTTCATTCTCTAATTCCCAAGCCACAACAAATGCACGACAGCCTTTTGAAAGGGGCAGCCAGACATATGGCTGGAGGTTTAATGCTTAGAAACAAGAAGAATGTTCGGGTAAGTCCAAAGAAACGTTAGGAGAAATTGTGTTTTATTTAAACGTGTCTCAAACTGAGAATCTTTAAACATTAATAACTTCAAAGTTAGTTGTCTCTTTGCCAAAGTTTTTCCTTTCTCATAGTGGCTAGCTTGCTTTGCTTCGTGTAATTGGTATAATAAATCAAAAGAAATGTTGATATGAAATACTGACCACCTAATATATCTTTTTATCCAATTTCTGTTCCTAACATTGGGTTTCATTTCAATTAGGAGAAACTCACAGGCTGTTTTCTAAACTGTCGCATTTTAAATCCAAGTTATAACTCAGTGTCAGGGGAAGAACGACCCACTCTGTGAACTAGAGACACTTCAGTGACTTGTTTAATTTATGGTTCTTACCCACCTCCTGATTGTTCGTAAAAACCTTTTTCATACGTACCATTAACAGTAACCAATATTTGTATTTAGGAAGGAAATGGTATAATACTAATTTTTTATGGGAAATATAAAATGAGGAGAGGGGTAAGTTAGCTGTCTACAAGAGGACAAAAGGGAACGCCATCATCTGCGTTGATAATTTCTGGGCCTGCAGCAGGCCCTTCCCCATCCTTCTGCTGGCCCTTCACGTCCTGTGCGCCAGCGATAGCCTCAAAGGTAACCTCACTTATTTCATGTACTGTTTCAAGTCCCCCCCGCCCAGATTACCATCTGTGAAGGTGGAGACTAGGTCTGAGCCCTCTGTGGCTACGACAGTGCCTGTCACATAACGGACTTTTAATAACCCATAATAAACCCAGTCCATCTTCCGACGTTTAGCTCAGATTTTATCTCCGTGTGCCTGACATGGTCAGCCCGGCCCTGAGAGCACATCACTTTCTAGTTATACCACTCATTTGGAATATCTGCAGCTGGCACTTTTCCACCTATGAAAATGTTGATAGGTCGGATGTATTTAGAATATGCCATGCTAAACCTAGCTGTGCATGGCTCTCCACTGCAGACTTAGCAGAATCCTTGACACATCCTTATGTCACGTCAGTATCCAAGAAGGAAAAGTGATGTAGAGCCACTACCTAGTTTAATTCATCATAAAACCTTATGTTCATGGGCCAAATCTTGGAAAGTACTGAGCGAGCTAAAATATAAAGTCTGTGATGTCAGAGATCACATTATATCTATATTTTCTCTTACAAGGAACCTTACGTCTAGCAAGTATCTAATAAATAGCCAATATATAATTAATTAATCGTTACAAAAAAAAAACAAAGAAAGAGAAGCTATGGGCACTCCACGTTCAAAATCAAAGTAAAAAGGTCAAGATCCAGGTGAGAATAGGTGTGGTGTGCGCACACCTGTAACCCAGTGCCAGGGAAGCTGAAGCAGGAGGATGGCTTAGAGTTTGAGACTAGCTTGGGCTACAGAGTGAGACCTAGTCTCACAAAACCTCCAAGTGAAGATGTAAAATAAACAGAGGTAGGTAGGTAGGATTGCTCTCCGGAGCCTGAAGCTTGTCACTTAGGTAGGCTGGGTGGCCAGCAAGCTCCTGCCTGGGATTGGCCTGTTCCCACCCCACCCCCCCATCCCACACCCCGGCGTGGTGCTTACAGTCTTCCAGGGCTGTGCCAGTGGTTTGGTGGGCACTGGATTTGAACTCAGTTCCTCTTGCGTTCACAGCGGGTGCCATCTCCCCCAACCCTTTACCAAATGTTTTTAAATTAAAAAAAAAAAAAAAAGAGAGAGAGGCTTTAATGGGAATCCCTCTCGTGTTGAGAGGATAGAGCAGCGGCATGCTGCCCCTTACACCTTTTGAATGAGGAAATTTCCAAAATCATATCTAACGATGGCCACCGCGGGTCATCCTGGGTCCAGATGCAGGACATAATGACTATAAAAGGTTTTGGGGTGGGTTTTTGTTTTTAGACATCTAAAACATATTTGTCTCATTCAATCAAGCATCACAACAACAGATTTCAGAAGAACACACACGTTTAAGGGTGACAGCTCCGTGTAGCTTCTTGTCTGAGAGGCTGATATGCAAATGAGAACTGTGTCCACATGACTGATAGGTGTTAACCAGATTAGTCACCTCGAGTCAAAAGAAGTTTTTGAGATTTTTTTTTTCCAAACTACTTATCCTAGTCACACACAATTCTTTCTAAATGACTTTCTGCTGCTGTGCCCAAGAAGTCTTTGTGAACTTATTAAACATGCCTGGTGAGAGAGGACATTTATTCTGGCTTCAGATGAGCAGCGTGATGGTAAACACAGGTGCCACGCAGCAGCTGGGAGTGTTGAAAAATTTCTGTGCTCGCCACATAATGTCAAACCCTGAAAAACTGACTGCTGAAATTGAAAGTAAAAAATAAAAAAAAAAAAAGCCTCTAATAATGATTAAAGAAAAAAAAAAGATGGACGGCCCCGTGTTCTTAAGAGACACTTCAATTACACCAGACTCTTCCGAGCGCTTTTCCCAGAAAACACTCCCTGGCTGCTCGCGATCGCTCTTGCTCACGGGTGACAGAGGTTAGGGTGAGTGAAGACCAGATGCGGTCCTTCAGTTCATCGCCCAGTACATGCCTCCTGCTGGAGACAGGAGCACCGGGGAACCTGCCAGAACCCAGCGGCTCCCTCCAGCTAACCCGCCCCTCCCGCCTCCAGGCGCCTCCATCGTCGGGGTGAACTGCCACTTCGACCCCACCACGAGCTTGCAGACCGTGAAGCTCATGAAGGAGGGCTTGGAGGGCGCTCGGCTGAAGGCCTTCCTGATGAGCCAGCCCCTGGCCTACCACACCCCGGACTGCGGCAAACAGGGCTTTATCGATCTCCCCGAGTTCCCCTTCGGTAAGACAGACGTTCTTATAAATCGTCTCAATATCTTTGCCTGAGAAATCCCAGATGGCTTTGCCCAGCCGGAGAGAGAGCTTTTGTCGTGGGAGAGAGAGATAGCTGTAGCGTTCATCTCTTGCCCCTGGATTCTGTCCCTGCAGCCAACACTTCCCATTGGGCATCGGCCTGGCAGGTAGGCCCACCATGGCAACAACCACCACGAATTTCAGTGTGAACCTGCAGCCGCAGCCTCGGAGTTGATGAAAAGGCCGTCCTCTGGGGTGGGGGTGGGCGTCTGTAGGGAGCAGGTCCTGATTCTAGCTCTGTGGCTGCTGTATGTGACCTCAGGAAATATCCTTTCATGCCTATACTTTGTTTTTTTAATCACAAGAATAAGATTAAATGGCTTACTTCCAAAGCCCTATTCCCTCTTTAAAGAATATGTTAATTGTGTATGTGTGTATGTGTGTGTGTATGAGACAGAGAGACAGAGGGAGAGAGACAGAGACAGAGAGAGAGACAGAGACAGAGAGAGAGAGGGAGAGAGAACGTTTACATGTAGACATGTACATACATGTGGAGGCCAGAGAAGGACATCAGGTAGCCTACCCTCTCGTTTTCCACCCTTTTTAAAGATGTATTTCTAATTATGTGTATACAGATGTGTGCCTGTGTGTGGGTGTGTGCACTCATGAGCACAGGTGCCGCAGAATCCAGATCCGGAGCTGAGGCCATAGGCAGCCATTTGTGAGGCAGCTGTTTGTGACCCCCCAATATGGTCCCAACCCAGGTCCTCGCCCTTGAGCAGAAAGTGTTCTTATTCACTGAGCTGTCTCTCCAGCCTTTTTCATTTTTTTTTTTTTTAAATAAAAACAATTCAGACATAATATCATTTGTTCCAGGCCTGGAGCCCAGAGTTGCGACCCGATGGGATATTCAAAAATACGCCAGAGATGCCTACAACCTGGGGGTCAGGTTCATTGGCGGCTGCTGCGGATTCGAGCCCTACCACATCAGGGCGATTGCTGAGGAGCTGGCCCCGGAAAGGGGGTTCCTGCCTCCGGCTTCAGAGAAACATGGCAGCTGGGGCAGTGGTTTGGACATGCACACCAAACCCTGGATCAGAGCACGGTCAGTCCCCCCTCAACTCCAGCGGCTCCCCCTGTGTCCAAACGGAGCCAGGAAAGGACCCTCCCCATTCCCAGCACCACAAGGGTGGGCTAACTCCACCTCCTCAGAGTCCCTCACAGAGCCGCTCCCTAAGCGTCTTCCCAGATGATTTAGGGAGCCGGCTTCTAGACAGAGTGTAATTTAAACAGCATGCCAATGTGGGTCTGTACTCCGGTAGGGCACCCCCACAGCATGCCAATGTGGGTCTGTACTC